TACCCGCAAACCAGTCCATGTCAACAATTTATTGACATTCAAACATTAAATTTTTTAAAGGTGATTTTTCTTAAATAAAACAGACTATTTTCATATGGGATAAAAAACATTTAATTTTGAAATTGATTGGTTTATTAAATTTTAATGGAGCTGAAACTAAAACACTGGGTACAAATTTATTATTACTTTGTTTCTCAGAAAATTGCAAATTTTGAACATAAGAACTGTGGGAAGTAGGCAATGATGTTAAAATATCTCTTGAAACTTGAAGAAATTGTGGAAGGTTTAGAGATAGAAAACAACATTTCAGAAGATGATGTTTGAAATAATGGTAAAATATCTTTAGCAATTGTCACTGAATAAATATTTTCATTAGACAAATCACATTTAGATATAGAAGAATAAGGTATGTCTTCAGATTTTCTTATCAGCGAAGATCCTGGGTGATTCTCTTTGTTACCATCGGTCAAACGACAAGCCAATTCTGGAAAATTCATTGGGTTCTTTGCCTGGGCAGCTAAATATATTTAAATTAAGTTCATGCAAGGCTTTAGAAACATCAATTGGATAAAACTCTATAATTTCATTAACTTTTTATTAATATCAGCTCCAAAGGAATAATATAAACAAGTTACACATCATCAATAAATCAAATTTGCAGATATTTCCATTTCACCAAACTTTCTCTAAGTCATAATATATATTTTAAATTCATGGCATTTTGTTAGGCTAGATATGTTGACTTTTATTTACCACAATAATCTGATTATATAAATTAGGATTACCCAGCTATCATACATTCTTCTTTTTACTGCCCTCCTTTATGAGGGGGAGGTAAAAATCATCATAAAATGTGTGATGCAATTTACAGATGAACCCTCTCTCTCTCTCTCTACCCCCCCCCCCCCTATATATATATATATATATATATGTATATCTACATAATCTCTAAAATCATGTTGGTACCTCTACCTGTATGAATGTTAGGCCCCTTTCCTTCAACTGTTTCTGTGTGGATCTTCTCCATGGGGGTCATCTATAAATGACGCCACGCATTTTTTTGACGATTTTTACCTCCCCCCCTCCCCCTACACATCGTCACAAAAAGCCAGACCCCCACCCCCTAAAATGACGTCACACAGTACTAGATTCTAGATCTAAATTACTACAGTTGCCTACACTCTAGATTTAGTTCTTAAGTTCTACAACAAGACTACACTAAACTTCGCTAGATCTAGAATAATCTAGATTCTATATATAAATTGATATTGAACATATTCTAGTCTACCTGTCTTAAAGTAAATAGCCTATTTAGTAATTTAGTAATTAATTCCACTCAACTACACTGTAAAATAAAAGAAACTAGATCTAGAATCTAGATCTCTAGACTACTCTTGAGTCTATAAATTAAAAATAAATCCTGTATGTCGTATGTTACTGTCTAAGTCGGAATTTTCAAGAGGGTTTTTTTTAAGTCATAGATCTAGATATAGAATTCTAGATCTAGACTCTAGATCTAGGCTATAGATCTATATATTTATTAATTAAATTAGGCTTGATTTCAGATTTACGATTGAAATCTTTTAGGCCTATAAATATCATATTTTATATAGATTATAGATGTATTATTATTATACAGGTTGTATTCTAGATCTATCTAGATCTATATAAAATATAATATATTTGTGTGTGTGTTATTTTAAACTTAATTTACTTAAAACAACTTATTGTCGGAGTTTTTTTAATTCCAAAAATGAAAGTAGATTTCATAACTTAAAAAAAAAAAAAAAATATTCACATTTGGTTTGAAAAAACAAAAAAACGCCAGCTGGCAACTACCGGAGCGAGAACTTGGTAAGCTACTTTAACAACTTACAAGCCCAATAACCATGCCATGAAGGGTGGTATGTATTATTTTTTCGTTAACTTTATACGCATGCTTTTGACAATTGTATTGTTTTATTGCGAGCGATAAAGAGATGTAAATGAAGGCGTATAACCTTCTCTTTGGGGTATAAATGTGTTGAGACAATCAACTGTGTTTATATATAGAAATACGGACTACAATTGTTAGATTTGACCTCTTAAAAGAACTTTCAAAGCTGGTCAATATTTCTGGCCATTTTTTTGGGTGCTATCGAGGACCCCATTAAGCTTATTACGGTGTTATCAAAGATTAAAGATTAATTTTTAAAAATGTGTAGGCTTGTTTAAAGAAATTGGTTCATGTTGACCACTTGATAATTAATTAAGCAAATGACACTGGAATGGTACGGGATGTCACAAAGTCGCCGGGGATTGCAAGTACTATGTAAATGAAAAGAGACAGGCAAAAGAAGAAAATTGAGAAGACAACATCAACGAATGGAGAAGTTTAAACACTGAGGATGACGGAGGGCTGGGAAATAAAGGAAGGTGATGATCACATTTACCAGAATGTTGTCCACAACGGTCAAACTGGACAAGTGGACAGATACATCATACTAAGATAATGTCAGCCATACAAATGATTTAAATTTGTCGTTTAATTGTGCATATGCTTAGGAAGTTCGGGCAGAGTTTGGTGAAGAACGTAAAAGAAGGTGTGGGCTTGGGACAGAGTATTGGGTCATTTGATTAGGTCAAGGGATTGGGTCAATGGATTAGGTCAGGGGTTGGGGTCAATGGATTAGGTCAGGGTTTGGGGTCAATGGATTAGGTCAGGGGTTGGGGTCAATGGATTAGGTCATGGGTTGGGGTCAATGGATTAGGTCAAGAGATTGGGCCAACGGATCAATAAAGGAGATTAGATCAATGGATTATATTAGGGAACTAGCTCCGTGGATAAGTCAGGGGATGGGGTCAATGGATTAGGTCAGGAGATTGAGGTCAATGGATTAGGTCAGGAGATTGGCTTCATAGATAAGTTAAGGTGATTTATTTAATAGATTAGATTAATCGATTGGGTTAATTAATTAGATCAGAGGATTGGGTCCATGGATTAAGTCAGAGTATTAGTTCAGGAACTTTGGTTTGAAGATTTGTTAAGTAAATTTGATCATAACCGTTTTGTGGACGTGTGGAAATTAAAGATGTGGGGTTTATTAGGGTCGTAGTGGAGTTTATGTGTGAATAAGTATGTAACGTTATTGAATGGGTGAGGTCAGAAGTGTGTGGTGGCAGATGTATGTGGTAGTTTGAGTAGGGGTGAGATTTGTTATGTGGGCAAGTGTGTTTATGTGGGGAGTGTGTTTGGTTATGTGGGAGAGTGTGTTTGGTTATATAGGGAGTGTGTTTATGTGGGGAAGTGTGTTTGGTTATGTGGGGGAGTGTGTTTGGTTATGTGGGGGAGTGTGTTTATGTGGGGGAGTGTGTTTATATGAGGGAGTGTGTTTAGTTATGTGGGGGAGTGTGTTTTGTTATACGGGGAGTGTGTTTATGTGGGGAAGTGTGTTTATGTGAGGGAGTGTGTTTAGTTATATGGGGAGTGTGTTTGGTTATGTGTGGGAGTGTGTTTGGTTATATGGGGAGTGTGTTTGGTTATGTGGGGAGTGTGTTTATGTGAGGGAGTGTGTTTAGTTATATGGGGAGTGTGTTTGGTTATGTGTGGGAGTGTGTTTGGTTATATGGGGAGTGTGTTTGGTTATGTGGGGAGTGTGTTTATGTGAGGGAGTGTGTTTAGTTATATGGGGGAGTGTGTTTATGTGGAGGAGTGTGTTTGGTTATGTGGGGGAGTGTGTTTATGTGGGGGAGTGTGTTTGGTTATGTGGGGGAGCGTGTTTATGTGGGGGAGTGTGTTTGGTAATGTGGGGGAGTGTGTTTGGTTATATGGGGAGTGTGTTTATGTGAGGGAGTGTGTTTGGTTATATGGGGGGACTGTGTTTTATGTGGGGGAGTGTGTTTATGTGGGGGAGTGTGTTTATGTGGGGGAGTGTGTTTGGTTATGTGGGGGACTGTGTTTATGTGGGGGAGTGTGTTTATGTGGGGGAGTGTGTTTGGTTATATGGGGGACTGTGTTTATGTGGGGGAGTGTGTTTATGTGGGGGAGTGTGTTTGGTTATATGGGGGACTGTGTTTATGTGGGGGAGTGTGTTTATGTGGGGGAGTGTGTTTGGTTATGTGGGGGAGTGTGTTTTGGTTATATTTGGGAGTGTGTTTGGTTATATGGGGGACTGTGTTTATGTGGGGGAGTGTGTTTATGTGGGGGAGTGTGTTTGGTTATGTGGGGGAGTGTGTTTTGGTTATATTTGGGAGTGTGTTTGGTTATATGGGGGACTGTGTTTATGTGGGGGAGTGTGTTTATGTGGGGGAGTGTGTTTGGTTATGTGTGGGAGTGTGTTTTGGTTATATTTGGGAGTGTGTTTGGTTATATGGGGGACTGTGTTTATGTGGGGGAGTGTGTTTATGTGGGGGAGTGTGTTTGGTTATGTGGGGGAGTGTGTTTTGGTTATATTTGGGAGTGTGTTTGGTTATATGGGGGACTGTGTTTATGTGGGGGAGTGTGTTTATGTGGGGGAGTGTGTTTGGTTATGTGGGGGAGTGTGTTTTGGTTATATTTGGGAGTGTGTTTGATTGTACATTAGAGTGTGATAGATTTTTTAGAAGTGTGTTTGGTCTTTAGAGGTTGAGTTTCTTTTGTGGAGTAGCATATTAGGCTTAGTACACTTACTACAGGGATGTGTTTGTCATAAGCAGCAGTGTGTTTGTTTATGTGTAGGAGTGTGTTTTCTTATGTGTGGTAGTCTGTTCACTTAATTCGTGGGGGGGGGGTGTTTGCATATGTTTGGGAGAGTCTTTACTTATGTTGTGGAGTGTGTAAGATATAGTCATGCCTATATGTTATCGAGCTGCTCTTCTACTTACTTGTTTGAAGGTGTTTTTGGAACTGACTGACTTATTGTTAAATGAAAATGATGATTATTTCCATAGCTTTGAAAAATGTGTTGCGCGCGATTAAAATGTAAAACTGTATTGCGCACCTTTTATGTGTACACCGTTGCGCATTGACCTTGGACGAGTCGGCCTTCCTATCATCTTAAAGGCAACTGTTTACACCATCTCGCTTAATAAGGAAAGTATCATATTTTTTATATTGGTAAGTGTAGTCCGACTGGACAAAAAACAAAGATTTTATTTGAAATAAATGTTGTCGGTAAATCTATGTAAGAAAGCTAATCTATTGTTTTAATTACGTAAAATACACCGCTGCTAGATCCAGTAATGTGACAGGAAGGTGACTTACTAAATTTTAGTAATTGTTTCGCAGTTTTATACAGAGTATAGAAAAAGTATTGTAATGGTGCTGAATAATTATTTATCAAATTATTTATCAAATGTTTTGACAGTTTTTGCCGTTTAACACCTCTCTTCTTTAATATATATGAAATATAAAGGATGCATGTAATCTTGCAAAAAAAAATCTTAACAGAGATGTTTACAAACTTTGACGTTTTACATCCTTCTCGAACGGCAAAAACATGTTTTTGAAAATTGGTCTGTTTGTCTGTGATGTTTTTAAAGACCATTATGATTATTTGAGTACCATTTCAGTTTGGCCAAGGCTATTCCCAGCCGGTTGGGAATAGCTGTATTGGGGCTATTCCCAGCCGACTGTGAATAGCCCCAATACGGCTATTCACAGTCGGCTGTCATTTCATGTTAAATACGACTGTGAATAATATCTTAAAAAAATAAAAGCATTTATTGTGACTGGAGATTGAGGTATAGATTAAGAGAGCAGTGCTATTTTTATTTTGTTATATTTTTATAAAAAAAGTTATTAGGCCTACGGTTAAAGTTTAGTTTAGCTTGCAGGCTCATATCAGACAAATCTGCTACAGACTACGTCTACGTAGGTCATAGACGATCAATTATGCACTCTAAATCTATACACTGGAATAATAGATCTAGTAATTTTTTAAATAGGCCTAAATAATACTAATTAAGCATTAGTTTAGTTAGTTGTTCACATTGCTATTCAACTATCAATTACCATTAAAAATTCACATTATCACATAGAATAAATATCAGGTGAAATTGGATGTCCTTTTTCATCAGCTATAATTCAGTTTCCATCACACTTTTGTGTTTTTTCTCTTAGCAAAAATCTACGGGACAGGTCTTTTTTTTTTTTTTGCTGATATGTCAACAATTACGTAACAAAAGAAAAAAAAAATAACAAATTTAACCCTCCATGAGTAACTCGAGTAACTGTGAACAAATATTTTAATAATAAGATTAAAAGGCATACATTAAGAGTAATAGCATTATGTCATCTGATGGATTTGAAAACGCGCCTGTCTGGCATGACAGCCACTGACCATGACCGCTCGACATCATATCCTCATGCCCAGTTGGGTATTTTTAACATTAAATCTATCAAAAACGGTCACGACTGTGAGTAGTCCCAATACGGCTATTCACAGTCGACTGTGAATAGACACTTCGTTTCAGTTATGTTGACAAAATTTCATACATAAGTATTATTTCACATTTGTGGTTCTGTATCATTTTTGAGCGTTTTTCAACAAACAGAAGTGGCAGATACTCTACTTCCGGTTACTTAAAAGCCAATAACTAGAGCACCGTTTAGTTTAAGCTAGTTTGAAGACATTTTATATATGTATATTAAATTGCTTGCATATTACTCTATTAACTTTTGAACGATTTACGACAGCCGGATGTGGTACTTTATTTCTGCATAAAAAAAATAAATTGCGTACTGTTTTAGTTAGGTAGAAGAAATGTCATCTATAAGTAAAGAGTCGTATTTTTTATATTAAATTATTGAGTGAACTTCGATAACCGGTGGTGGAATTTTACACTAGTTACGGTTTCTATCTCACGATTGTACTGGAAAGAGCTATCTCCCTTAACTCCTTAATCATATTAAAAATATACGTGAAACTTCATGGGGAGATTAGTCCCGCTTTATTTCAAGTGTTTAAATTTATTTTCTAATACCTTTTTAAACAACAGCACTTAAGCTTTTAAAAAATAATTTAAAAGATTAGCAATACTTTAATCAGATGCAACCAAGAGCATTAACTTAATAGCCATCTGTTTAGAGTTCTTTTACTTGGCCGCTGTTTATATTGCAAATCTGTCTCTCAAACACTACTGTTTAAATTTAATATCCGCCCTTTGTTGATATATTTAAATATTGCGTTTGGTTTCTTATTTAAATATCTTATATAGTTGATACAATTATATCACAACACACTTGTGTTTGATCCCAATTATTAAGTCACCTTTCTATCAAATTATTCGCTTCGGCCGATTTTACTTAAGCCTACCTAAAAAGATAGATTAAACACAAACTGTGCAATCCCATCTGATAACAATTTTAACTAGATATTTGCATATTAATTTACTTAATTAATTACAATTTAATATGAGAACACTCACGTTGACAATGACTTTAAAAGCAAAATAATTACATTAGACTAGGGGGTCGCCCATAAATGACGTCACACTCGTGGGGGAAAGGAGGTCCGGAATTTTGTGATGGTGTGTGTAGGG